GACTGTCGAAGTGGCCAATATATCTTGATGTTGTGGGAATCTCTCGCACGACTACCTTATTCGCAGATAAATCAGCAGTACTTTATGTATACAGTCTGCAGACCAAGCAAGAGAGCAAGAACCTTCAAATCGCCACAAAGCTGCCAGTGATGTGGGTCACAGTTTATGCACCTCAAAAGTTGTTTCATGTTACACTATGAGATCTCTTTTACCAGTGGCAAAATATAATAGTAGGTTTTTACCCTTTTAACTGGTACAAAACTGACACCTTTATTATCAACTTCAAGGACAGTGCATATTATCATCCTTATCAGAGTTGCTTCTTTTTGTTTGCTTTTTTGACTACTTGTGTTGTGGTCATTGCAAACATGATGCCTTGAATAAAGGTGTCAGTTTTGTACCAGTTAAAAGGGTAAAAACCTACTATTATTGTTTCATGTTGTCGTAGGTTTCCTTCATATGGACTGCATGACCAACTGTAATTGATGGCAAACATTGCCATTATGCAGCAAAACAGCTTTAAGACCCTTCTTCGATGAATCAATAAACATTCTCCACTCATCTGGATGATGAACAATGTTGAGGGCTGCCATCACACCATCGATGTTGTTGCAGGCTACAAGATCACCTTCCATGAAGATGAATAGGACAATATCCTTTTGACAGCCAAGGAACACGGAAACCCTGACATCACCTGCCGGGAGATCCAATGCTGCAGTCTGGAGCCCAACAACTCTGCCTTACTCTTGGGTAGTTCCAAATCCCTGACAAGGTCTTTCAGTTCACCTTGTGTTATGAGGTGTGGTTCAGAGGAGGAGGATGGGAGAAATTCTTAGTCATGTGACCTTAATGGTTCAGGGCCAGAAGTTTCATCCTTTTCCTCGTCTGACTCAAGTGAGGATGATTCTGGTGCACCAGGAACCGGCAGTCCTTCTCCGTAGGGTAATGGGCGTATAGCTGATGGAATGTTTGGATAATGCACAGTCCACTTGTTCTTATTTGACAAACCTTTCCCAACTGGAGACGCCATGCAGAAGTAACAATTGCTGATGATGATATGTTGGCTCTCTCCAAATAATTGGCACTGAAAAAGGCATAGATTTCCTTGTCCTGTTCAACCACTGGCGAAAATTTGTTACGCAAGTGTTGCCTACATCTTGTCCTGATCTACAAATTTGCAGCCAAACTAAAGCTGATAGTCTTTCTTAACTAGAGTGGTTATACTGCTTTTTTGTGATGCAAAAGTCACTTCATCACAAACATAGCAGAAGTGATCTGCTTTTTTCACACAAGTGCGAGGCATCTCTGCTCACTTTCACTAAACAGAAATGTGTCCTTTTGCAAAATCAAACACTTACAAATGAGAGAGCACGACACTGTATGATTTCTAGAGCTGAAAAGGGCAATTTGTTCAGCAGAAGAATGTAAGGATAGTCATCATTGCATCATCCATGACTTCTCTGAATAACATGCCACAATTCATATCATGTATGACACAATACCAGGTTCAAATTGCATCATTCATTGTTTTGCTCAAAAAGAAAGCACTGCCCAGACCCAGACATGGATTTATTCATAGATCCCTTCCCTCTATAACTCACTTATCCTCCGCCATTCCCAAGTCAAGGGTCGTATATACTGACCCAGTAGCATAGATTAAAAACTAGAGCCAATCAACAATTGTAAGCATCATTTTCATTCTCGGTGACCCAGAATGAGTAAAATTGGACTACATTTATTTCGGAAGCATTTTGGCTGCAGACCAGTGTTATCTAAGTAGTGGATATTTTGAATGGCGGATGGTCCGAGTGGTGCACATTCTAAGTGGTAGATTATCTGAGTGGTGGATATTTTGAATGAAGGGTGATCTAAGTGGAGTATATTGTAAGTGGTAGATTATCTGAGTGGTGGATATTTTGAATGAAGGGTAATCTGAGTGGAGTATATTGTAAGTGGCAGATAATCTGAGTGGTGGATATTTTGAATGAATGGTAATCTGAGTGGAGTATATTGTAAGTGGTAGATTATCTGAGTTGTGGATATTTTGAATGTAGGGTGATCTAAGTGGGGGGTATTGTAAGTGGTAGATTATCTGAGTGGTGGATATTTTATATGGAGAAAGATCTGAGTGGAATATATTGTAAGTGGTAGATTATCTGAGTAGTGGATATTTGGAATGGATGATCTGAGTGGAGCACATTCTAAGTGGTAAATTATCTGAGTGGTGGATATTTTGAACGTAGGGTGATCTGAGTGGAGGATTTTGTGAGTGGGTAATGGGTATTTTGGATGATCTGAGTGGAGTATATTGTAAGTGGTAGATTATCTGAGTGGTGGATATTTTGAATGTAGGGTAATCTAAGTGGAGGATATTGTAAGTGGTAGATTTTATCTGAGTCGTGGATATTTGGAATGGAGGATGATCTGAGTGGAGCACATTCTATGTGGTAGATTATCTGAGTCGTGGATATTTTGAATGTAGGGTGATCTGAGTGGGGGGTATTGTAAGTCGTAGATTATCTGTGTGGACCATATTACGAGCGTTCGATGTTTACATCATTGCACTAGCATGTTTTTCTTAAGGTTGCCCCGCGACACTGCTGCGCTTACGATTCCACACAAACCCACTCCCTGGCACCGCTTGCTGACATTTACGATCCCACCAGGGAGAAGAACAACAACAACAACAGACAGTCGCTGCACCAGGGCCTGCCGCTCGTGTCGCGTCGCCTGCGCTGTCCTCCACAGCACCGGCAGTGGCCAGGGGGGAATGGCTGGGCACCGCCCGAGGCATGAATTTGGCAATATCTGTGGGAAAAAAAAACGCAAATGCATCTGAGCTGCGCCGAGGTCTCCAGACCTCTGCACGGAATTATTATCCACAGACTCTCTGCCAGTACAAATAATCAAATCCAGACCCCGGGGGGCTCAGCCTCCATTGTGTGTGCGAGTGGTGTGTGGCGGCACACGTGAAGGCGGGCATTTGTCTACGTGTGTGTGTGTTTCTTCGTGTGTGTGTGTGTTAACATGGGGAGCAGTGGCGCAGTGGTTAGCGCACTCCGCTACGAGCTCGTCGACCCGCGCTAGATTCCCGCTCACGGCGGCCAACATCAGTGACGACCTATCTGAATCGGTCCTGGGCCTCCCCTAGGTCGACTCAGCCTCAAATGAGTACCTGGTGCGGTGTGTAAACATCAGCATTGTAGAGACATAGGCGGCCGGCCATGTATCTGGCCACCCACCCTCCTCGTGTGCAGTGCCGGTGATCATAGGTGCTCGCTAACAGCGCTTGCCCCAACAGTTCGTTAAGGTTTTACGGGGAATCTCTGCCTGTCTCTGTGTGTGTCCGTGTGTGAGATTAGCGTTGTGTGGTGGTTCGCCCACTGCGTTATGAACCCTGCGACGTAATTTCACTTCCCGCCCATGGCTAACATCAGTGGCGATTCATACTTGAAGTGGTTCTGGGTCTCCCTTAGGCTGACTCGGCATTAAATTAGTACAGTGCCTCCTAAGCACTGCGGAGACAAAAGTGGACCGGGCCACAAGCACCCTTTCACGTGCTGTGCTGCCTGTAATAGGTGCTCGCTAACAGCACTCGCCCCCAGCATCCCATTAAGGCGATGGACTGCAGGTGGCTTGTTGTCGACCACGTGTCTGCATGTCTGTAAATGAACGTGCGAATGTATGGGTGAATGCGTCTTGTGTATGCGTGCGTGTGCGATCTGTACCCTGCGTAGTCCACGTTTATGTCACCCAGCAATTCGAGGGTAAACACGACGATATAAAAACAACTCGTTGAAAACGCCGACGAGTCGTTTTGCAATTACTTGGAACGGCGTCTTGCTCAGGGACACTAAAAGAACACAGGCTGATGAAATGTCTTGGATTCTCAAAGCCCTCTCAGCAATACGAAGATGAGACGTTGTAGCGACAGGCTTGCGTGCCTCTGTCTCTGAGTGGCCTCTGTTCTGAGCCCAGACAACGCTGCACCAAGACCCCGCCGGTGCATGCATGCGCATACCTGGACTTCTGCATCCACGTCCGTGCATATCTGTATGCGTCTGTGTGCTTGTCCGCATTCGCCAAAAACGTGCGTCTTTCTGCCTGCAGTGCGTGCGTGCGTGCGTGCCCGTGCACGCATGAGTTGCGGGGAGCGGTGGTGTAGCAGTTTAACGCGCTGCACTACGAACTCGGCGACCCGAGTTCCATTCCCACTCGCGGCTACCACCACCGGTGACGATTATCTGAACCGGTCCTGGGCCTCCACGAGGTGGACTCAGCCTCAAATGAGTATCTGGTGCGCTGTGTATAACACATCGCGACTAGGGAGACAAAGGCGGTCGGGCGTGGTGTTGACCACCGACCCCATTGCGTGCCGTTCCGGCCTTCATGGGCGTTGCTCGCTAACAGCACTTGCCCCAACAGTCCGTGAATGCTATACGGGGGATCTTCGTCTTTGTTTTGTGTATGTGCGCGGGGAGTGTAACGTGCCGTGCCCATTATGCAAGTGATTGGGCGAGGTGGCGCGTAAAAGGCACGGCATGCGGGAGCATGAGCAAAGGCCATCCTTCACCGTGCACCTCACACCCGCTTTCCACGATAAAATATTCTCGGTCATGGTTTTCGAATTTCCATAACGGGGGTAATGCATTTTTCATGCTGCGGCTTTGGGCAGCGGGGTGCTTAATAAGTAAGGCAGTGCAGCCCCATCGGTGATCATAACCGAGCAACAGAATGCAATAGTAGTCCGTGGCTAAGCTGTTTCGGGCGATGATGTGGCGATTAAACGCGATATTTGTCAGCAACGCGCGGCCGGCGCGCGTGGCCGCCCGGCGGCTCTGCGAGCGGCGCGCTCCGGGCGTCGTCGCAAGCGGCGTGCGGGTTGGCTGCAGAGGCATCGCTCCCTCCTCCTCCTGCCTTCCTGCCCAGCCCCCCTCCACTCCATCCCTTGATTTAAAGCAGCCAGGAGGAGGGTAGGGGGGGTTGGAGCAGGGGAGATCCGCGATATGCTCTGTCTGCTGTTTGCTTAGTGCGATTGACTGCGACTAATCGGCGGAGCGAAGGAGGCGCGCGAGGCGTGAGCGCTTCCACGGCCGCCGCGGAATCCGCCGAGCGCCGGGAAGGGGGAGAGGAGGAGGGAGAGGAGGAGGGAGAGGAAAGTCGCCGGGCTCCGCTGCTACCACCGCCGTCTCCCGCGGACGCGCGAGCGGCATCGCGGCCGCCGCGATGCCGTTCATCCCAGGTACGAGATCCTCCTCCGCGCCCATTGCTCTTCCGCGGTGACCGCACCGCGGCGCGACCCCTCCGAGCCGAGCTCGGGGCTGCGGGCTATCTGTGTGTGAAGTGGGAGGAGTGGCAGTCACGGACATCCCCATCCCGGCTTCTGTCGTTTGAAATGTGCGTTCCACCACCTGATTTCACTGGGACGAGGCTGGCGATCGCGACCTCTGAGTCCCCATCGACAGGTGATGCGCTCCCGCCGCGGGGAGAAGTGGTAACTTCGCCGTGAGATGTCGGGAAGGAACAACACAGCAACAGGTGTCGTTTGTTTGCAGTGATTGTCGCGTTGTTCATGTTCGGTTGTCGAACGCGATGGATGTGCCAGTCGCTGGCGATCCTCGACCTGTCCGTCGTGCGTCCCTGGCACTTTCGGGCGACGTTTTGTCGTCCCCTTCATTAGCGACGGACCCAAGGGGTGCCCAAACGATGCTGAGTGTTTATCCATCGAGACGTTTTGTTGACACAAAACAAGCATACAAGCGCTATTTTTCTTTTTTACAGCCACTTAGTGAACGTCGTTGTTTTATTGTACAAAGGGCTCTCGGCTGAACTCAATTGAACTCGACCAAGAATGAACTTTGCACACATCGACTCTCGCGTGAAGCCCACTAAGAACACGATGTGGGCTCGGTGCTGACCAACACCGGGACGGGGCAGTGGCCGCGTGGGTCGCCTTCAACCACCGGCGTGGCAGGCAGCAGCGGTAGCAGCAGTAATCGCAGCAGGAGCAGCAAAAGCAGCAGCAGGAATAGCAGCAGGAGCAGCTTAAGTAGCAACTGCAGCAGAAGTAGCAGCAGTAGTAGCAGGAGCAGCAGAAGCAGGACCAGCAGCAGCAGGAGCAGTAGGAATAGCAGCAGGAGCAGCAAAAGCAGCTGCAGGAATAGCAGCAGTATTAGTAGCAGGAGCACTAGAAGAAGCAACAGCAGCAGAAGTAGCAGCAGTAGTAGCAGGAGCAACAGAAGCAGGAGCAGCAGCAGCAGCATGAGCAGCAGCAGCAGGAGCAACAGCAGCAGGAGCAGCAGCAGCAGGAGCAGCAATGCTCGAGGATTGCTCTGCCCAGAAATGAGAGCGGCGCTCTCCGTGCGTCACCGACGCACCGCACCCGTCGGCACGCGTGTGCAGGTCGTGGGCATTTCCCGTCGTAGAATTTAATTTCATTGACACAAAGGAAAGACAATCTCTTGATATCATTAAAGGGGGATTGTGGTGGGGGGGGATTCTTCTCTTAAACTCTGGTGGGGGCTGGCACGAGCCGCCACTGCTGCCTGGTGAGGAGTGTTCGCTGACGCGGCGCTATCTCAAGTGGCGCATTTGTCGCCGTGAGTGTCGCTTTTGTCACCACGCGCGCGCGCGCGCCTCGGTTCGCGTCGCATTCCAGAGACTGCGAAGCTGCCGCGATCTCGCCAGAGATCACCCGCGCCCCCCTCCCCCCGCTGCCTAGCCGGCTCAAAGCCCCCACCCCACCACCACCCCCCCCCCCTCGGGGCAGGGAGCCTTAACCATCATCCCCCACTCCCTCGAGAAGTCCTCCGATCAGTTCTCATTGCGCTCACACCCCCCCCCCCCTTCAGCTAGACCAGAGGAAGAGAGTGATGGATGATGTTAAGCGAACCATCCTATAAAATATGAACGACTTTGTAAACTCGCATCCTGTAAATACGCCTCGGTCCGCGCGAGCGAGTGAGTGAGGATGCGAGCACGCGAGGCTGCGCGCCGTACATTGCCGACTTTTGCTGATATTACGAAACAACAGCAATCACCAACACACACACGCGCGCCCATATTGTCTCATACATCGCTGATATTGATCGGTATGCAAACTGCAGCGTTACAGCGAGGCGCACGGAGAACGCGATTTGTTGAAGGAAGGCGCGACGGGACGGGTGCCGCTCATGATCAGCAGAGATCAGAGGCAGCGCGCGGAGGACCAAAGCGCGAACGAGGCTCCTCGCAGCGCGCCCCGGCGCCCGCATCACTCACGCGGCAGAGTCCCCGCTGCGTCTCCTTCCTCCACCCCTCCACGTCCCTCTCCCAACCCCACCACCACCGCCGCCGCCGCGCCTGTTTGATTATCTAATCGCAGTTGAATTTCTGATATTCGGAGGCAGGGCAGGCGCGGGTTGGCGGCTGCGTGGGTAAACCTCCGAGCCTTCGCCCTGTCCTCACATCCCCCAACCCACCACCACCCCCATCTCGGTGGCGCAGAGGAGGCGCGGGTCACCAGGAACCGACGCGACCCCGGGTGAACCCGACGCGGCGCGGCCCCACCGTGCCGCTGCCCCGCCGGCCCGAGCGTTCGGCCCCAAGGTCCCGCTGCTCGTCGTCCCGACATTGCGGCGACACGCACGAGTCCCTCTGTTCCCGAACGCGGTTGTCGAGGCTTGAGACCACGTGAATGTGAATTCGCAATGCCGTTGCTCTGCATCGACGCATCAGCGGCCGTACGACGAGACGACGAAAACGTTCTCGATGGAGCCGCCGCCGCCACCTTTGAGAGCGGATCCCCCCCCCCCCCGCCGCCTCACCCGACGCCTTGCGCCGTGGTGTTCGAGGTCACGCGGAAACATTCCCCGTCGCAGTGTTCATTGCGAACTCGCGCACGCGCGTCACCCCCCACGCGCCTCTCTTTACCTGCAAAAATCTCGCGAAGCCGCGCGCACCTACGCCGCGCTCGCCGTGAACCACTACCAGGACGCCTCTCTCCCCCCCTGCCCCCCCCCCCCCCTGTGAGCAGGCGAAATGAAAGGCGTTTGTTCCTCTGATTACCCAGGAGGAATTCGTGCCCGCCCGACCGCTCGCTCGCTCGCCCGCCCGCCGGTCGGTCGGGCGGGCGAGTGGCGATGGGGAAATCCGTTCTGGTGAAAGTGCGTTGCGAGTCGCGCGGCGCTCTGACAGGGTCTTCATCACGGTGTTTATTCCGGCTCTTTAGTTATTCGTTTAATATGCAACCTGCTGAGATGCGCTGCGGGGTGCCTCCGCTGTGCCCACGTTTCATTTGTTGATGTTAGAATCAAACGGGCCTGCTGCTCGTTCTTTTGTTTTGACGTCCAGTGCAGCTGCCTGCAGCTTCTTTGCAGCTGAGAAACTCAGAGCCCCTTGCCATCAAGGCCGGACAAGGCCCATGAGCATCAAGAGACGAACGAGGAGGTGATGTTGCACCAGCCTCCGTCTCCACACCATCATTCCGTCCTTCGGTTTGCAAGTAGGCTTACTGGTATGATTGTGACTCTCCACGCCATAGTAATGATGGTGGTAGTCGTGGTGGTGGTGGTCGTAGGGGTGGTAGTCGTGGTGGTGATGGTGGTAGTCGTGGTGGTGGTGGTAGTCGTGTTGGTGGTGGTGGTAGTGGTCGTGGTGGTGGTGCTTTCGCGGCCAATATTATCTATAATAAAGGGTTTCTTTGGGGGGGTTACATCGATAAAAATATGAATGCGCTGTTCAAGCTGCCACCACCCGACGCAGCCAATCAATACGTTTTGTCACGTAAACAAAGCGTGCCTATTGGATACTACTTCAGCACACCGGTCGGTGTGTGTTGGAGACTCAACCCCCGACATTTACAATCCCAGTCCTCTGCCGTTCCGCTGGTGATTACAACAACCAGCTTCATCAGGCGATGGCCAGAATGGCGACGCCGTCCTCCTGTTTCGGTCTTCTTCTGAAGAAGTTGGGTGAAATATCCCATCTGTCCCGCAGCACGACGGATATAAACGAATGTGTGTTTTTGATTGCGGGGGAGGGAGGCGTTAATAATGCAACGCGGTTATTTTAATTATTTCAAAGTGTTTACGTGCTGGGAAAACATTTTGAAATGAATATTTAAAATTTGAAGGCCATGCCTGAGCTGGTCGAGTTTCTAATGAGATTAAGGCAACGGATACATCTCGCCACGGTAGCTAAGAGATGTTAACTACCTCGCCTGGTATGCAGGAGGTCGGGGTTTCGATTCTGCCCCTGACGCTTGCTGCTGTATATTTGGAGTTTGTATGCTCTGCTCGTGGTCACGTGGATTTTTCTCCGGGTCCTCCGGATTTTCCCTCCACATTTAGAATCAACATCACGCGTTTAGAGTATTTGGCTGCTACAAAATTCCACGCGCTCAGCTACTTTGTTTCGCTATCGTTTGTGGCCAGGTCGCTCTTACAAAGAACTCAGTGGGCCTTAACTGGTCAAAAAAACTACGTAGTTTTTAGTTTTGTATGGCCACTAAACCTCATCGCTTCCCACCAGCCGTCGGTGAAGCCGATAGATTTTCGCCCAATCGTAACCGCTCTGTGGAGATTGTAATAATTGGGATAACGTCGGCCGTGGGACTTCATCAAAGGCCATTTTTTAACATCTCTCCAGATCACAGCATCGTGCCGCTTCAAGGCTGCGACGTGTGGGAATTTTGCTAAATTAAGTCGTCGAATTGCGCCCATGAATGGTTAAACAGGGGTCGTGGTATTTATTTCAGCACATCGAACGTGTCTCGTTTTATTTTGTGAAGACCGCTTGGTGCCAGCGCTTTATGACAATAATACACATGTACAGCACGTCACAGCACGACGAGGTGATGTACGTGTTCCTCACTGGTACCGTGCACAACACCGTCAACTCAACGCGTTCGTCAATAGGCACCACGTGGCCCTCATCGGACGAACGCAAAAATATCACGGGTGACATTTCAGGCAATGGCTCTTGTTCACCGTAGATCGTTCTATCGTAGGAGACACAGCCGAGTAGCGAGTGGACCCGACAGGAGGGTGTCTGACGGACTTGGCAGTCGCGTCGGACCTACAGCTTGCGAGCAGCAAACCCCACTCCCCCCCCGCTCTCACATTTACAGCATTTATTTTTCTTGTCGCTTTTCCACCATCGTTCGGTCCCCACGGGGCTCGAGTTGAGAGAGCAGGCGAGCTTGACACGTTCCCCACGTCCGCTCAGCCACGGCGCCGTTTCACCCCCTCCACCACCACCACC